ATGAAGTTGATACAAAAACCTTAATTTATAAGGCATTAAATACTTACTGAAATCCTCATAACTAGACCTTATTTGATTTTTTTGTTGAATAAAAGCTTTAATGGACTAATCCTCGAGATTAATCTAATCCTAATGATGATTTATATTATCAAAGTTTTTTTACCTTTTTTATTCTAGTTGCTTTTAGAAATTGCTATGAGAATATCCGAAAGAAAAATCGAGATATTTGTCTTCTGAAAACACGGCCAGAAAAAATAGTTAAGTAAAAAAAGGGATTTTTTACATGGATATGTTAAAATGTTAATGTTTAACAACAACATGTTTGAAGATGTAAAAGCAAAATCATCTTAAATATTCCACAAGACTCAAGGAATATTCTCAGAAATAGAATCTAACGGAATGGAATCCAACACATTTCCGATTTTGTAGAAGAATCAATACTCAACATTTTTCAGAAATTTTAACTTTGATTTATGTGCATGTTTCCTAAACAGTGGATACGTAAAAGTTCTGCTAGAAATTTTGGAAAAAAATGCTTAGATTTGTATATTTAGATTATTGGCAATCCTTAAACTTCTCATCGGCTAAATAGAGCATAGATAGAGAGATAGATAAGATGTTTTAATTGATTTCTTCTTTTATACACAAAAAAAACCACGAGAAAGTTACAAAATGACAGAGTTACTGGGAAAGCAACCCGTTTGTTGAAAATAGAGTGCATACATGTTTAAATACCTATCTAATTTAATAAAATGACATAAACAGTTTTTTGATTATGGATAAAGCAAAGCTCAGGCACAGGAAAAATTCACATAAATGGTGTCGGCGTTATTTCCTCGCCCTACTTGTATCCTTATGTCGCACACTTGACTTTTAATGAATGAATGAAAAAAGTATTTTATTAGATAAACAAAAGAGAGAAAAAATTGCACATATCTAAAAAGCACTTAACGGCAATGGTTATCAACCGTCTGCTGGAGTCGGACTATAAATTTTTAATAAACAAACAACACATTTCTTCTCAAGGAATAAAGAAAAGAGAGAAAAAGAAAACTATATATGTAAACTAAAATAACAACATATCTAGGTATATTTACATACACTTATGCACATATAAATAACCAGGATGTCTCTGATATATACAATAAACATTTAATAATTGAAATAAAATACTAATATTTTCCTGCAGTTCCAGGCTTCCATCGCAACTTTACTAAATTTATGGACTCGGGTTTATTGAGTTTTGATAGCCATTACTTTTTTTTAAGTCACAAAACATGTAAAGAAAAACGCCCAGCAAAAGCTAAGAGTAGAATTATTAAACTAAAACAATATTGACCATCGAAAATATATTGATGATGGGTTTTGATCTGCTAGTCGGTGAACTCAAGTAGAACCGGCACAGATTCATTTACAGATTCTGTCTCCACTTGCGGGTTTTTGAGTTATTCAAAGGTGCTTCGGTATGGCGCCATCTTCAGTGATGAACCTCAATGAATAACTCAAAACCTTACAAACCTAAAGTATATCAAAGTGTCTTAAGGAAATTAAATTAAATTGCATAAATATGCAATCAAATAAGCCTTAGCGTCCTTTGATTTTGTACAGTGTTCATAAATAAAGGTTACTATTATTTGATTTAACAATTGTTAATTAAAAAACATATTGGTAAGAGATGTACAAATAAAGGTTACGAATATAAATTTACTTAATATAATTTAGTTGGTGTTATACCTAGACATTAAATCCACAAATTTTGGAGGCCAATATTCACTGCTGAATATAATTTTTTTTTCTTCGGTTCCACTCTCTCTTGTTCGAAATTAGAGCGTTCATATAAAACATGCTACCACGGATGCACCGTTTGCCAGAGGAAGTTACAATTGTCATCGTCCACGATATTAATTTGCTGGAGGTTTGTTTTTCCCATGGCCGTTCTCATTCTGTGCCATTTTCTCGTTTAATTGAAGTATCGTAGTCAATCTGGTATATTCGGGGAAAAAAACTTTTTTGCGTTCATTTATCGATTTATTACCAATCCTCTCCACTATTTGATAACCCTCAGCCGTTGCTTTTGTACAAATGAAGGTTTACGTAAAAATCTACAAGCAATGTAGAATTCTTTTGTTGCTTCATTTGCCTCTTTTTGTTCGTTGTGTGGATTTATATGGCTCTTTGTCGTTTTCGGTCAAAGTTTTCGACCAAGGCAACAGGTGACCAAGGTCCAGATTGCGACACTTTCTTTACTAAAGCCTTGTCATTGACAAGGAGTTCGTCTTGATTATTGGAACATAACGGTGTTTTTTTTTTTGTTTTTTTTTTTTAGTCTGCATTTATTTGTGCTGATATGGCTCTGGAGGAATGACGTCTTTATGAATAATTTTTAAGACGCCACTTCTTAGGGCCCTATAAACTTTCTCTCCTATGTATTTCATTTTTCTATTCCTGGGAATTTTCACCACACTGTAAGGTTAGATGTCATTTTTTTTCTTTCTACATAAAGATTTGTAATTTCTTGGGGGATTAAACGTTATTTTATTTTGACTATTCTTCCATTTATTTGAAATTCCATCTCATTTCTATTGTGTACCATTATCAAAACATCATCAGTAAGAGCAAAAAAGTGAAAATTATCTGAGAAATTAATGTTCAGAAGGATGTTTGATATCTAGGAGCACAGCATGAAGCCCTGTGGTCAGCAAGTCTTTAAATGTTTGAAGTACGTCCTGCAGTTGTCTTGATATTTGTTATTTTTAACTTTATGGCCACCATGTTAGGTCAAATGTTCCTGGAACATTCAATGATACCAGTAAAATTCTGTAAGTAAAAACTGGCAGTAGGTTATTCAACACATTTAATTCTAAAAACGACCTAATCATTTTGGATGTGTTGTTTATATTATGTTTTCCAGGTTTGATAACAAACGACAGCAAAGATTTTTTTTTAAATTCACTAATTTCGTGGTCCGCTTGACCAATTAATGCATTACAATTAATTAAGGTTTTTAGTTGAGATAAAAAAAAGTTAATGGCACGAGCGGGATTCGAACCCACGATCTTCGGCTAGATACGGCGCTGCTCTACCACTTGAGCTATCGTGACCTCGATCCACTCGGACATCAACTTCCTATCTCAACCCCACCATGATTTTTCCCTCCTTTTTGCCATTTTTCAACTCATAAGGTGGGAAAACTCATAAGGTGGGGTTGAGATAGGAAGTTGATGTCCGAGTGGATCGAGGTCACGATAGCTCAAGTGGTAGAGCAGCTGCGTATCTAGCCAAAGATCGTGGGTTCGAATCCCGCTCGTGCCATTAACTTTTTTTCATCTCAACTAAAAACCTTAATTAATTGTTTTTTAAAAATGTTTTAAGGAAAATAGCGCTATTCAAACATTGTTGAATAATTGTAATAGTTATATTAAAACTGTAACACTAATTGCACCTTGAAAACAAAACACCTTCACTCTTTTATGTACACATTACAGTTGCACCGTAAGTATAATTAAACCCCTCAAAATAATTAGCAATAAAATTAGCAATCGAAGCAATAAATATTTGTATAAAGATATTCATATCATAAAAAATAATTAATATAACATTTTATCATTATAATAAATTGGAAATTGAATTTAAAATACTCTGAGAACAAATTTCTACCAATTATAAAATGTTATTTTCATTGCAAGGCTCAAAACGTACTGTTTATTTATAAAAGCCTAAGTAATGGTTTTGTATCATGGCGATTTCATTTAATGATAAGTATACAAAAAACGATATTGGTTGGATTAATAAGATTGGGGGTACTTAATTTAGAAAGATATTCAAGTACAGTGCTCAGGAATTTAAAGAACTGTCATTTCATTACAAATAAATTGGGCTGAGGTACTTCAATAAATCGTCTGAACAAGAATTCAATTACATTTTTGAATACTGTAGAAGCAAGTCAATAATATATAACAATGATTATTTTTCTAAGTTCACGAATCATTTAAACAATCCCCTGAAAAATACTTTTTGTCTTATTTTTTACATATACATATTAAAATTTAGTTGAAAGTATTTATTTACTCGCTACGTAGTTATTTTTGTAGGGGATAATTATTACTTTTATATTCCCTTTAAGGTGAAGATTTACTTTAATATTCTTAAAAAACAGCGCCTTTTATGACATTTATTATTTCAGTTTATATAATTTTATAATGTATTCATGTATATGACAGTAAAAGACTTAAACTATCTATCGAGTGGTAATAATTTGTGACAAATCATTATACACATCCTCCCATGTCGTTTGTGTAATGCCATCATATCTGGAATTTTTGCTCCCGTTTTTATCTGGTAATAATTATCCATTTCATCATCCCTCGGTTTAAATTTTCTGTTTTATTTAGTTTGTGACGTGATAACGTAATTTTTGTGTTCACGCGCTCTCTTTTCTCTATAGATGAAGATTTTACATTGATCTGGGTGAATCTGGGTCTGTGTGATGAATGTGTCTGTGTATTTTTTCTTTCCTGACGGTTTGTTATTTTAACTTATTACAAAAGGTTGTTTATAAAGAAGAAAAATATAAATTTGAAAACGTTGCATTGCACTCAAAATTGTATAATCGAAATAAAAAAAATTAAATTACTGTTACTATTTTTGGGGGAATCAACCTGTAGAAAAACATTTCCCTCCAAAAGCAATCAATGAAACGTTTCTGCATTAATAAAAATCATTTTTTGATTCTTAATTGACTTTGTATTTTGTATTTTTGATAAATGACAATATCGACAAATTGATGACAAAAAGATCGAACAGAAAATTTCGCCGCCTTTTCCCTTAGTAACACTGAATCAGAGGCGGTCACACATCGACTGATCCCACAATTAATCAAATAGCCGTAATTCAAGTGAAACTTTATTGAGACGTTGAGAACAAAGATACAAGAGACGGACCCGGGAAGATCCCGAGGGCGGAGGCAGGAGGAGTCGACGAGGGGGCGTCAACGGGAAGTATAAAAGGGTTGGAGGTAGAGGGTGCAGTCCATTCCATCATCAGCATGCACCACGCCTACACCCTCTTGGTCATGGCAAGCATCGTCGCCTCGGCCCCGACATATGCTTCAGGTAAAAACATTAATAAACTGTAACTAAAACGGTGCATAAGAAAATAAAAACAGACTGAAAAAATTACATCATGTACAATAAAAAATCACTTAAAGTAGATGAATGTTTATTACTTTTTCAAAATTCGATGTCAAAGAACTTACGTATAAAAGTACTTAATTAGCACATAAATACTTATCGGAAAAATCTAATTAATTTTAAAGGGTTTTTGATTTTTTCAACTTACATGTAATATAAAAATTAAATTTAACTTAATTAACCTTTTTTAATACTATTAAAGCGCAGGTTTTCCATTTTTTTCAAACTATCTTATAAATTTCTAAAATTTGAGTAATTTTGAATAAACAAAATATAAATTTACAAGCATAAAATGTTAGAAATATAATAAATAAGATTTCTTTCCTTTGTTCTTACATCAGTAACTTTCATCGCTCCTTTGAACTGCCAAAACATTTCATAAAGGGATAAGTCGATTTCGGGTAAAAATGAACGTTTTTCAGCTCCTTTGAGCAACTTCAATGCGTATAAATATGTATATAAAAAATTAAAATATAAAATAAATAATAAATTTTGTCTACTTTGTCCTCACTTTTCTTCGCTTTATTTTCATTTGACCGATTGATCACTAACACCCGTTTGCTTTCACTTTTCAAAAAGCGCGTTAACGTCTGAATTTAAACTTCGTAAAATATTCAAAAACAATGTTACAACAAAGCTCTATTGTTTTACAACAACTACCATATCGAACAAATGAATTAAACCAGTCCTTTCTGAAATTTTACAATTGTTTCTGCGGCCGCGTGAGTTTAAATCTTTGCCCGTTTCAACAAAGTACTTCTTGTTAATTTAGAGATAATCCAACATAGCATTTCACTAGATTAATTATAAGTAATTCTAAAGAAATCTGTTTACATATCTACCGAGTTCTGAATGGGTATTTGCTAACTCTACTGGACATAAACCCTTTCTTTAATAATACCCCAAAAGTAGTTCAACTTTTAAAAAAATATAATGTACAAAGTGTTCTTTTTAGGTGGTCCGGCTGTATTTCTCTTGAACTAACGCCGCTATCAAAAAAATCCGTGTTTAATATTTTTTTATTTATATTTTTTAGTCTAGTTTCAAATGTTTACCTCAAGCCCAGTTCAACATGAAAATTTCAAATACGACCCTATATATCCTAACATATCATTTTAAAGTATTTTTTACGCTGAAAACAGTGGTGCAATTGGATTTTAAATTGGTCAAAAAATGACAAAGTTATGGAAAAACGAAATCGGCAGCGTAATTTCGACAAGGAGCTGTATATTTTACTGCATGTTCGCGAAAATCCGAATTCCTCTCTCCGAAATGTCGGAAGGGCCATTTTTTTTTTTTTTTTTTTTTCTATATATTAAGTACATTTCATGTTCGACTGCCTGCCTTGCATAAAGAAACAAAGATTTGTTCTTTTTAACCACTCTTGACCGGTACTCAGATAGAGTCAGGGGAGATGGATTGACAAACATTTTCTATCCTTTGCCGCAGTTCTTCAACTGAGGTTACTGGGTTATGATTGGCGTAGACACTGGTTTTTTTTTTTCTTTTGTTTAATGGCTCCTCAGAAAATAGTCAAGTTGAGTTAAATCGGGTGACCGAGGAGGCCAACAGCGATCGGTGCTATGAGGTCCTATCCACCATCCACCTATCCCGGAAGTGACAATCCAAATAACGTCTCACCTGCAAAGAATTGTGTGCGGGGCATCCACCAAGCTGGAGAATCATTCTTTGTCGTTGTTGCAGAGGAACGTTACCTAATAATGTTGGTAAAACCTCAAAAAATTGAAGAACTGAGCACCATTTAAATTATTTTCGTAGAAATACGACCCAATTAATTTATTTCCGAGAAGTCTACGCCAAACATTGATACTGTGAACCAACTGATGATGGAAGTGTACGAAATTCTCGTATTTCCCTCTGTCCAAATTCCAGAAAATTCCAACGGTTTAGTATGCCATTAGAGGTGAATTTGCATCAGCCCACAGGATGTATGGAAGAACGTTTACTTCAGCCTCCCAAATCGACATTTGTGAAGGTACGTTAGACTTCTGTCATAATCAGAGTTTTTTTCATCTCAACTAAAAGGCTTAATTAATTGGACAAGCGGACCACGAAAGTAGTGAATCCATAATCAGAGTCTCGAAGTCCCTAAACAAGATGAGAGAGATACGGCTTGTACGTCCGGAGTACAACTCTACTTTTATTTTTTGAAAAACCTAAAACCCTTTCAACATTTCGGAGAGTGGAAATCGGATTTTCGTGAACATGGAGTAAAATATTCAGCTCCTTGTCGAGATTACGCTGCAGGAGGCTTTTTGCTGTGACTTTGTCATTTTTGACCACTTTAAAATCGAAATGCCCAATTGTTTTCAACGTAAAAAATCCTTTCAAATTATGTGTCTGGATGTATAGGGAATATATTTGAAATTTGCAAGTAGAACTGGGCCTGAGTACCCTGTATAATTTATCTCCAAAAAGGTATAAGTTTGAAACTAGAGAAAAAAATATTAAACACGTTTTTTTCAATAGCTTCATTGGTTAAAGAGAAATTCAGCCTGGCCATCTAAAAAGACACCCTGTATAGAAATAGCCGTAATATGACGGGAGGTTAGGAGTAATATTTGAGTCCTTTTTGCTACACTAGTGATTCTGGGTTTGAATCTCGGCATAGCCCATGGCATTTTAATTAATTTAAAATTACATTCTATAATACCAATAAGGATTCAAAATTGAAAATAAATTTAATTATCAAGAATTTAACATTTTTGGTTCAGTGATATTTTTCAAGGGAGGCTAAATACGCTGTAACCAAAGGTCAAGCTGCTTTGACTAATATTCTTTTTATCATTACGCGCAACAAGATCTCAGACCCTGTAATGTAAATGTCTGAGATCAGGACAATGAATGTCCGTTTCAGGATGGACAAATTCATAGAGTTCGAAAATCCCCTAAAATTATGGGGAAAAGGATCTCAGAATATGCACCGTGACGCAACTTAATAAACATTTAATAAGAATACCATCATTTAACTCAAATTCCAATTCAGCCTACACCCTAAAAAAATTTATTACTAATTAGATTCAAATGATTTGTGGGAGTTAAGAACGCCACTTTCTACTTTTTGCACCTCATTGTTTTAAAAATACTCCTACTGAAGAATATTTATAACTGTGAACTTCTTGCATTAATGATAAAAACTTAATGACGTTCGTTGGAAAGACTTACATGGCGTTTAAGTCGCGTTCTCTTGATTGAAGTTGAAAGTTTTTGTTCACATTTCATTAAAAAGTGATCAACTTTTCATTCGTAAGTCATTGCATCTTTTTTCGTACGCATGATTTTAACGTCGTAATGTTTTTCAAAACAGCAGGAAGACATCCGGCTATTTTTATTTGACTATTTTTCAACCGATATTCTCTCGTATCGATTGTTAATCGAGTTATAATCCATTAAATTCAACCACTAGCACGTTAATAAAAATAGTTAAAATTGAGTGAATATATGAATTCTAAAGCTGAAAACGACAGTTCTACTCAAAAACTGTTCTTTTGAGTTACCAGAATTTCAAATTCTCAAGTATCGTACTTTTGTCAATTACTAAAGCAAGTAATTTAAAGTTACCTAATGATTGTGTTTTAATATTTTTGATGTAACTAATTTATTTACAATCAGTATAAGAACATAATAGATTAAAATTCTATTCGACTCAAATAATGAATTAATTAAATATTTGAGGAAAAAAATTAAAACCGTGCTTGTTTAAAGCATTAAGTAAACGATATTTTATGTAAATGTAATGTACATTTTATGTAACAAGATGTTCTAAAATAATATTTCTCCAATTAATTAATTCTTTACACCCTAATATAAATTGTATATTAGAAATAAGTAAAGAAGGACGTTTAAAATTTTTAAACATAAAATGATCCATAATATAACTTAATTGAATTCGACGTGTGTAGAAAACCCACAACTAACATCATGATGCCAGCGAATTCGTCACATTTATAAAGCTGCTGGGTTTTTTTGGCTCATAGTCGAAAGCTGTAGATCCCCGATTGGTTGTCAGTTAACAAAAACATTAACTTTAAAAGATGTACCAATCAGACTAGGCCATTCCACCTCGTCAGGTTTTCGTTGTTTACCATATTTTGGTCAACTATCTGAAAAAATTAGGAAAAATCCTTAAACGTATGATTTAGAGTAGCCTATTGGGGCTGACAAACATCCTTTTTTTATTGATCAACATTTCATAAATTTACATTATAAAAAGCAATGTTTATCAATGGTTGGCTCTAGTCTCTCTCTCACCTATGTCGCCTATCTTAACACTATTTGTCAACAATACGAATCCAAAAACAACAAACAAAATAAGTAGGTGGAAAATTAAAAAACTATACAATACATTCGAAACAAAAAAGTAAAGTTTACCAATTTGTCAAAAGTGGGGGTATACAAACTCTCTTGTAATAATTGTGATATCATATATATATATAGGACAAAGTGGTAGAGAAATTAAAACGACTTGCCAACATAGTATAAATTTTCTGAATTTAAGGACCGCTTAAATGATACAAGAAAAAAAATTCACTGCTACAATCTTACAACAAAGAGAAAGAACTGGATTGGTCTGAAAACCTGGATATAAAAAAAATATGTAAATAAACATGTATAAATAATATAACATATTTAGAATTCCCCAACATATTTTATAATGTACATAAACAATACCTAACAACAATTAACATAAAAATTAGTCCCTAATTTACAACTATTTTAAACTATTTTTTCCAATATAAAGACAATATTTATAATATAGTAAATTATGGTCAATTTTTGTTTTGTAATCCGTGTTTTTCACCATTTTTTTTAAATTGAGCGGCTTACAAAGCTAGCTGTTCGGTGGGAGATTGCGTTGGCGGAAGATTACAAATCACAATCTACAATTTACGTTGGAAAAA